AGCCTGATCTCAAAAATATAGTTGAGAAATCAAAATCATCAAGATGTTAAAGATTTATTATGTTATTGGTCAGTTTATTTGCTTATCAAATTTAGAGAAGTCAGTTTACCAAAAATAAATAAAAGTTCTATAACAAAAAAAGTGGAAATTCTCATTAACAAATATCATTCAGTTCAAAAATCTAAACAATGTCTTGAAGAAAAGTGGGATTATTTATTTGATAAAGTAAATGGTAACTAAAGTAAATGGTAACTGGCTTAGCAACAAAGATAAAGCATTTTATTTCTTACATGTGGATACTAATGGTCAAGTTGGTTATTGTACATCAAAAACTGTTAAAGTATATCCATCTAAGGCTTGCAAGAAGAGACCTAGCATACCTGAAACAGATACAGTAGAGGTCAGTGGCAACAATGAAGAATGAACAAAATGATGAACAAGATTCTAATTATATTTCTCCAGACAAAAAAGTTAAAAGGAAATATGAGAACACCACTGTGGCTGTTAAGAACTTAGTTAAGAAGTCAAAACTAAGTATTAAGAAATCAGCAAAAGTTTGCAAAAATTTATCTGAATGTGGTGTCAATGTACAAGCCTCGTCTAAATCTGGGGTTTATAGAGCTACATGTAAACAGCTCAAAAAATGCACATGATAAGTAATTTAAGGTGTTGCATTTCGACGATAAAAGAATGTCAGAGAAAGAGTATCAAGTCTTGGTTTTAAAAAATACAGAAAAGGAGGTGAAAGCCATTTTAAAACTAGATGATGGGAAAGCTATTAGTATTTACAGTGGAATAGTTGAAGTGTTGGATAAATTTCAACTATGGAGTATAATATTTGATATTACAAGTGTGAATACTGGGAATAGAAATAGAGTTGTATTTCAACTGCAAAGAGAATTTGAAAGAAAAAATCTTGAACCATTTCAATTTGTTAGTTGTCAGCATCATGTGTTGGACACAATTTTGAAACATACTATGAATGAAATTCTTAACGAGAGTTAAGAATTTCATAAAGTTAAAGATTAAAGTTGCCTGGGATAAATGAAATTCTACAAATTGACTTAAAGCTTTAACTATTATGACTTATTCTTTTATTTTATTAATTAAAAATCACTAAATTCTTCTATATTATTAACTAAAAATCTTTTAATAAAGTATTATTTTTGAGGTTTATGGTTGTAACTTTTAATTTTATTTTTTGAAGTATTTAGTTTAATATAAAAAAGTTAAAATTATTATTATAAATTAATTAAACTAGTTAATTAAATGACATTCTAATCATATAAGGTTGTTTAAAAGGATCCTTTAAATAACTATCTTTCTAATCATATAAGGTTAAAAACTGCAAAAAAATTCAGCAATGTGAAGGGTGAAAATTAAATTTAAAACAGTATAAAATTAAAGTGTAAAAATTTAGTCTAAAAACAAAATAAAAACTATAAAATTAAGTCTGAACACTTTTTTTTCCTGATGCTCATGCAAGTATATTAAATAAGTTAAACAATCCAAAGAAAAACAAGAAACTTAATTAAAAACCGCTGTAATAAATTTAAATTTTTACATATTTTAAAAATATTAATCAGTTTAAAGAGCAACTCTCATTGCTCCATTGGAAATAAACTTTAACAATGACGAAAACTCTATATATGATCAACACATATTCTATGTAAGATGCAAATTTCGCATTCATGGAAAAGACAATCAAAAAAAAAAACATTTAATCCCTGGATTACCAAAGATTTTTAAAAATCATCGAAGATCAAGCAGAATATTGTATTAAAGTATATAAAGTATTTAAAAACAAAATCCCTAGAAAATGAAAAAATATACAAAGATTTTGAATATCAGTTTGATGAAAAAACTCGAAAAAATTTGAAAAAAAAATACTACTCTAGCTTTTGAGTTGATCTTTGCGTATATAAGTTTTACAGATTTAATTTCAGTAATTTTTTAATGGTTTGAAAATTAATCCAATTTTTTATAGTTTTTTTATATTTTTTAAAGGATTTTTAGATTTTTTCTTAGGTTTTCACTAAATCTTTATATTACATAAGATAATTTCCAAATTTGTGTTTTTTGCATATTACATACATTTTGTAAACTAAAAAGTAAGAAAAGAAAAAAAAAATGTTTGAATCATTATTTTTTTGTGTTTGTAATATTGATTGATTGGACCATATTAATACAGAGGTAGCCAGTTTTCTATTTGTTATAAGTTTTCTGCAACAAAATTTAATTCTGGTCAAAATCACCAGAATTAAATTACAAATTTATTGAAAACCTGCAAATTATGAAAAAATGAAGGTGAAAAAATTTGTAAAGGGAAGGCTAATAAATGGAGAGATGACATAGATTTTTTGTTTGACTTGGTACAAAGTTACCAATTCATGAAGGTGAATGGCAGCCTTCCAGCTATAAACTTCAAAAGTCTCCCATCATCGTACAATGCCAGATGGAATTCAAGAGCAATCTATGCACTTCTGGCTTTTATTTTAACTGAATTGGATAATATTCAATTGAGCTTGATTTGCGACTTCATTGCATCAACTTGGTCTAATATTTGGTTTTCTGACATGCAATACTCAGAACATGATTTAAAAAATTTAAAACAAGCAATAACTTCAACTTCAGGCATGAAGACCTTAAAAAGACTTTGGTCACCAGAGCCCAGCAGAATACAAGGTATTCAGAGATCAAATATTTGTGCTGAAAGAGCCATAAAAGTTATGCAAGAAATTCATGAAAGAGATATAGACAAAATGAAATACAGATTTATTCTGCTAAACAACTTTTAAATTGTATCTTCTTTAACTGAAAGTTATTTTGTCAAAATAAATTATTATTTATCTGCTAATTTGTCGATATTTCTCAAGCAAAAACGTATTTTTCTAATAAAGGGGGACGTTTTTGTAACTTAAGTCAATAGAGCTTTTAAAATTGGTAATATAATGTAAAACGTCATATTTTGGAACTATACCCAAGTATAGTTGTGGAAAAGTCAACCCCCTAATATATATATATATATATATATATATATATATATATATATATATATATATATATATATATATATATATATATATATATATATATATATATATATATATATATATACACTTAATCTCTCATCTTGAATCTAATGACTTACTTTCTGATCATTAATATGGAAATTAATCTTCTCGTTCTACTGCTGACTTGCTAATAGTAATAACTAATTTGGTTTTAGTGTGCATTAGATAGAGGTGAAGAGGTTAAGGCCAAACTTTATCAAAAGTCTTAGAAATGTCATCTTTTATGACATTTCTAAGGCCTTTGATAAGGTTTGGCATGCTGATCTTCTCCTTAAGCTTTCCTCTTATGGGATATCAGGTAACATCTTTAAGATTATTGATTCCTTCCTTTCTAATCGTAGTATAAAAGCTGTCCTCAATGGACAGCACTCTCCTTCATATCCTGTAACTTCAGGGGTTCCTCATGGTTCTATCCTTGGCAATAAACTCTTTTTAATTTACATTAATGATCTTCCAGTTATTCTTACATCTAAGGTGGCGTTGTGCGCTGATGATACTACCATTTATTCTTGTCTTGATAAGAAACCAATACTCTGTTATTGGTTGGAGAGGGAATTTGAGCTTGAAAAGGATCTCACTTCTGCTACAGCCTGGGGCTCACAGTGGCTGGTGAACTTTAATTCTGTTAAAACTCAATTTTTATTAGCCTATTGTCATCGCAATAGTTTAGATCTTCCTATATTTATGAACGGTAATGTACTCAATGAGTCATCTACCCTTCATCTTCTAGTACTAACTTTTACTTCCTAACTTTTTTGGAAACCGTCATCAGATCAGATCAAATCCATTGCAAAAATTAGCCTCTCTTGTGCCATCTACTAAAATTTATTATTGTGTTACTCGTCATTTAATTAAGTTTTATCATTTTTCTGCGACTATTCCTAAGTGCTCCAAAAACTCTTATTCGTCTAGTTTTTTCCTTGAACGTTAGTTCTTCGGAATTTGCTTCCTTCATCTTGTTTTTGTGATTCATATAATTTGCAATCTTTCAAGTCATCTGTCAATTGTTATCTTGCTCTATAAACTTCATCTTTTCTCTTCCAGTAACTTCCAACTCTAATAGTGGTTGCTTGCAGCCACTTCTTTGTTGGAAGCAAAGATGTTGAAATATATATATATATATATATATATATATATATATATATATATATATATACATATACATATATATATATATATATATATATATATATATATATATATATATATATATATATATATATATATATATATATATATATATATATATATATATATATATATATATGTATATATATATATGTATATATATATATATTTACAGTGCTGTGGCTAGTGGGTTGGGGGCCTCCCTCCCCCTCCCTCCCTCCTCCCCAAAAAAAAAAAAAAAAAAAGAAAACCTTTCATTAAAGTCCCTTAAAATCCTTTCATTAAAGTCCCTTATATATATATATATATATATATATATATATATATATATATATATATATATATATATATATATATATATATATATATATATATATATATATATATATATAAATTAAGAGAAAATCACTTAGTAAAATTTTTTCTCATTTAACACTGTGTTTCATCAATAAAGACTCATCAGAAATGATGAGTCATCATTCAAATCAGTCAAATGATGACTCATCATTTCTGATGAGTCTTTATTGATGAAACACAGTGTTAAATGAGAAAAAATTTTACTAAGTGATTTTCTACTAATTTGTAATTGCTCTGTTCTTTTAAAAACATTGAGCATTCTTATTGTAGAATACATTTTAAATTGTTTAAATATATATATATATATATATATATATATATATATATATATATATATATATATATATATATATATATATATATATATATATATATATATATATATATATATATATATATATTAGTGTGTGTATTTATATACAATTTTATTCTCGTTTATAGATTTTAGCAGGAATAATTTTAATATCGGTAAGTCATGGTTATTCAGTTATTTTATAGTTCAAATATTTTGTTTGTATCACAATCTTTAATATATGTTCAATTGAAACTTGATTAAGTAAAAGTTTAATTGGTTATTTAAAATTCACAATTAGGGTTGCCAGATCTCCTGCTATCTATCTAAATAGTATGAGCTCATAAGAACTATTTCTTTACCGATTTGCTGGCCTAATTTTTTAAGAGACTTTATGGTGGAGTACGATAATGACCTAGCTTTTTTTTTTCTTTTTTTTGACTTGATTATATTGTTAGCTAATATTTTTTAAAGGAAAAAATTAACTAGGAACCTTTGGGTTCTATAACGAACCTATCAATTATCCATGTCAGTTTTAAAAACGAACCTATCAATTATCCATGTCAGTTTTAAAAGAATTTTTTTTAAGCTACATAAAAGTAGAAAAAAGTTCAAATATTTGAAATTTTGGAAGAGTTATAACTTTTTTTCTTCTGAAAGTTTTGAAATTTGTGACTGAAGTGGTTTCTGCACTCACCGATTCAATTATTGCATCCATACAATTGAGGGTGAAATGTGTAAGGTGTTTAATGTAAGGTGAAATGTGAATTTGTTTAATGTTGATGTTATAGTTGTTGGTTGTCGATTATTGTATTTAACTCAAATCTCGTTGATTAAAAATGTTTTTTTACTGTAGAATTAGGTTGTTTCCAACCGTATGTCAACGCATTTCTTGTAATAAGTAGAAAAATCTTGACTTTTTATGTTCATATTTCTGTGTTTGTTGTGTTAGCATTTTTGAGTTGTGTAAGTTTTTTTTCTTTTCCTTTTTTTGAGATGGTATCAAATACAATTAATTTTATTTTACATAAAAAACCCTGAACGTTAAAATAAATTTGATTATAAATTAATACCTTGTTTTCTTTTCTGTGGGAAACCTGGTACGGGAATATAAGAACGTTCACGATACTTTATCTGGCAGCCCTAATTTACGTGAAATAAAAAGCTTTATAAGAATTTATTATTTTTATTTTAGTGTGTACTTCTAATTATTGAAACCATAAAAAGCATGCGAAATAAGCCATTCTCTGAATCTGATGATTTTATGCATTAAAACTTTTATCATTAGAAATTACCAATTGGTAAAACAATTTTAAATTTAATGTTACTTGACGATGGTTTATCGTGAGAAATTAGATAACATAAAACGATATTTATATTTTAGATCAATTAAGATTTTGTCATGCCCTAAAACAACTTTTATTAGACGCTCATTTCAAGAAATGAAAAACTCCATACTATGATTGACTATATTAACAGACCTTGCGCATTGGAGTAAAAAACTGGATACAACTTAAACTTTAAAAAAAGAAAATACAAGTTAGTAAAAAAATACGAAGACGATTTGTAATAATAATTAAAATCTAAGTTTTAACTTTTTATAGATGTTTTTTTTCATAGATGATATTTTTTTTATAGATAATATTGAGTTTTATATATAAATAAAATTCTGCTATTTATGCATATAAAACACTTGTCAATATTTTAGCTTAAATACGTCCATAAATTACGTAACGCAAACTTTCACAAAAAACAATAAAAAAAGGTCAAAAGTTTTCCCTCACAGAGTCATTAAAAAAAAAAAAAAGTTAAAATAGTCTATTTAAGATTAATGAAAATCGCCGCGTAAAAGAGCTTATTGTCTCCTACTTCTGTTTTTCAAAAATATTTTGTGTTTGTACGATTCCTTGTTACCAAATTTATAATAATCGTAGACAAACAATAATTTTTTTATATATTAAAAAATAAATGTAATTTTAATATATGTTGTGTATAATGTATGTAATTTATTTAATATATTGATTTCATATATGTATAATTTTTACTGATTTTGTTGTACCTATTTAAATAAGTAATCATTAACAATGTTATATATTGGCTTGTTATTATTTTTTTTAACTTTTTCTTTGTTTTATTAAAACTGTAATAGAAATTAAAATCCTAAGATTGCGGTTGTGGCGCAGTGGTTAGAGCGCTTGCTTTATAAGAAGGAGATCCAGCGTCACGTTAAGAACGGAGGCGTGAACTTCCTCGGTGCTCTGTGACAAGACCGTTAGGACTTCTTGGGGCATCTAAATAACAAATTTAAAAAAAAAAAAAAGTTTTGGCCAAGGTTTAAAAAAGCCTGAGGCGTATTGAGGCGGTTTCCCTATATGTGAGGCGAGATGTAAACCTCAATGTGCTTGAGGCGTAAACCTCAATTTATTTGAGAAAAACTCTTTTTTTTCTTTCTAGAAAAAGATTAAAAACAATGAAAATAACACTAAAGTAAAATAATTCTTTTATTAGAAGTTTCAAAAAAAATCACAGAAATTCCAAACTTCCACAGATTCGAAATGAACATGGTCTAATCTTAAAAGTCATAACCCAGCAATCATCGCCATTGTCACTAGAACTAGTGCTACTATTAGGATCCTCGAGGAAATCATCCGTGAAAATCAATTCAACCTCTTCTTCTTCGCTTTCCTCCTCGGCATGTAGAAAATTTTTTACCTAAAGGAAATGTATGTTTCAGTAAAAGTAGAAATAAAAAAATAAAAAACTTATTCAAATTAATATCATATACCTTTTTATTCTTCTTTCTTATTTTCGTATGTTGAGATACTTCACCTTTGTTTCAGTTTCAAATTGAACATAATGCAAACCAAATCATTGAGTTTCGCTTGCTTCAAGCGATTTCTTCTCTTTGTATGCACCTATTCATTATAATATTAAAATTGAGTAACTTGAAAATCGAAAACATATAAAAACCAAAATACTTTATATTATTACTTGATTGAAGGAATTCCGTTCCGATTCCGTTCACACCCAGAAGCGCTGCAAGTTAAGCTCAAGATTCAAATGACAAATTTTGTTCAGGCGTTTGATCTCCAAAAGCTTACCACCAATCCGCTGAAAATAGTAATAATATTTTATTAAATTGACAGAAAAAAAAAATGGTTGAGATATGATCCCATATCGAGTCCATCCTCTCGTTTATCAAAAAATAAAATAAAAGATATTACTAACACACTAAAGATAGTGAAAACAAACACCTGGACTTCTTTTCTTCCTCGTTTTTACTGCATTTTCCCATCCAAATAAACCTTGTGCATTTTAAAAAGAACTGATCTGCAAATCTATTTTCTCCCATTCTTCTGAATCAGCAATCAATTGCTCTATGCAGGAATAAAATCCCAATTTAACCTCATGATGAGTAGAGAATGAAAGTTCATATTAGAAATAAGGATTTAGGAAATATGCTGCAGCATATTTCCTAAATCCACATTTCCAATATGAACATTCATTTAATGCGTGTGAAGCTGACGATCTCACCGACTATCCAAAATATCCCAAACAATCTCATACTTTGCAACATCATTATTTAGATTTCGAACAATTTTTTCTTTTACCCTGTCCATAGCTTCGTAAATAAATCCTATTGGTGGATACTTCTCGGAATCCACCATTCTAAGAACTATAACCAAGGACTTTGTTGTGTTGAGCACATGAGCAACACTAGGCCAAAACGACTTGCTTTTTAGAATTCTTTTCCCCAATGATCGAGATGCATAAGCACTGGTTTTCCACTTTTTTGAAGTAAAAAGGCATTCAAGTCCATCCCTTGCTCCAAACAGGCTTTGCAAAGTAAGAAATGCCGTGGCAAATTGAGTAACAGCAGTTTTCATCAAAACTACACCAGTAAATTTTCTTACCATTGCTAAAACCCATGGATAACCGTAGATAAAATTTAATATTTTTTTGGCCTTGATGAACACAGAAGCATGGGTACCCACCCAACTTGAGGATGTCCTTCAACATTAAGTCAAAGCAGTGTCTCAATTCATAAGGTTTCGCTTCATCAACAATGGCAGAAATAGCATTTTTCTCTTCTTTTAGAATCCATGTTTGCAACTCATGCTTAGTTGGGGGTTTAAATCCCCTTCTAAATTCACATACATCATTTATCGTAGCCCAATATGAAGGGATTGTTGTTATATTGAACGGTATTAAATTCTCATAGAAGAAACTTCCAATAGATTTGCAAATCCGTCTTTTTTCGTTTTTCTTCCAACTCTCATTCAAGGTAAATTGGTACATTTGATAACACTTAGAATATTCAGCACTCCCGCTACCAATATTGGCTTGTTGTATAAAGAAATCAATGAATCCATGAACTTGTTTGTTTAACTTAAATGCCCTTGAGCCTATTGATGCTTTCTGTAATTGTTGATCGCCTTCAGTAGCAAATAGCTCTTCCAATCCCACTCGACAAACCTCCTCTATTTCTTCGAATGCCCTTCTTTTACCCTCGATCTTTTTCAACATAAACTACTTCATTTCTCCTTGAACCTCAATGGGAACTCATGGACAACCTGCAACATTCTTATGATTCTTAAAAGATGCCCCTTTAGCCTTTTAATTCCACCAGTGATCTTCTTCTGACAAATGTTAAACAATGAAAAAAACAAAAACAATAATCAATCATAGCGAGCTGCAATTGATTATACAATTCCATGTAATGATTTTAATAATTTGTTAATACAATTATACGGTCATATGAGTATAATATATGATTTAATTATACAATTTCAGAATATACAAGTTAGATATATATCTAAAAATTTTTGTAAACCTACCATTATCATTCTAATACATTCATTTTCTTAGTGAAAATAATATACCGACTGAACTGTATTTTATTTATAATAATATAAGTATATAAGAAAATATTAAGTCTAAAAACGAATTCTACACTTTTAAATCTTTTTCAAAGTTTCTTTTTAACTTTCAACTTATCGATTTTTATAATGCGTTGCATATGAACGCTCTCATTTAAATCGAATGTCATTATATTCCCTGTTTTGTAATTTGAATGAGGCCGTTAAAGTTTATTTACAATAACAAAATAATTGAATAAAAAATTTACATGACAGTGATTTAAAAACCCTTAAAATTTGGCCGATATACAGTCTTTTGTGTAGCGCAATTTAAATAATGTTATTAGCTAACTATTTTCTACAGTTTCTTATGATTCTAACGGTATACAAAAATAAGTACTGAAATAATAGATTAAAATGTTAATTCATGTTTGAAAGTGATCGAAAACTTTTTTTTTTTATCATTAAAATTTTATAAATAAAATTTTCTCAAAACCTTTCATTTTAATTTTAATTAAATACAAAGCTTTGTATTTAATTAAAATTAAAATGAAAGGTTTTGAGAAAATTTTATTTATAAAATTTTAATGATAATGATACAACATGATAATGATACAACATGTAATGATACAACATGATAATGATACAACATGATAATGATACAACATGATAATGATATGAATAATGATAATGATAATGAACATAAATGATACAACATGATAATGATACAACATGATAATGATACAACATGATAATGATACAACATGTATAAAATTAAGATAGAAATATCTATTATCTTTAAAGATAATAGATATTTCTATCTTAATTTTATACATGTTGTAAGTAATGCATTTAAAAAATGCGATTTAAACGAACTTAAACTGATTTTTATTGAGCGAGGACTTTTTACCTTCGACTTCCTTCGTGAAGCCAATTCTTTTTTAAAGAGAGTTTGCATCATTCTAAAAGAAACCAAAAAAGTTAGCTGCCCCAACTTCCCCCATTTTGAAATAATGTAGTTTTTTGAAGAGTTAAAAACCTCAACCTATGAATCAATCTTAGATAACATAAGTCTAAAGTTGCAAAGAGCAGCCAAACCCGTAGTGGTTAGCGCGCTTATCTCAGAAGCTAGAGATCGTGTTTTAACGCCACCTCTGGGCAAGTTATTTAATATTAGTAAAGAAGGAGGAGTGAACTTCTTTTCAAATGATCTTCCACGGTGCTCTGTGATAAGAACGTAAGGACTTTTTTGGGCATTTTAGGGTTTTTGTGCATATGTGTATCACCAAGTATCTACATTAGGGGCTTGTATACTTCTTGTAAAATCCTTTGAGAGGTGGTAAAATTTCTTTTTCTTTTTTGTTCCTTTAATTCAAAATAAGTGATTTTCAATAATAAAATATAATTCACAATAAGAGAATGAGTAAAATACATAAAATTAGAATTACAAATTTTGTTAACTTTTTAACCAATTAAACAGATTATAAATAAATAATAATCGCCTAATAACTCATATATTTACACATAAATTATGATTACTTAGATTAAATTAATCTCTAAGGTCTAATAAGACTAAAAAT